CAGCTCGAATTGCATATCTAAACTGCGGGCCCATTAGATATCAGACAGAAAAGTGAATCAGCTCGAATTGCATATCTAAACTGCAGGCCCATTAGATACTAAGTTTATGTAATTATTACATATAAGCATCTCATAAGTTTGTGATTGGATACAGGTGTGTAAAGTTGAATTATTGCAAAGAGCTTTTGGGTAGGAAAAGTGCAAATTTTTGGGCAAGTGCATACGATTTTAGAACTGAAATAGGAAGAGTTTTCTGCCAGAACTTATAAGTTTCGTGATTGGTTATGTTGTTATGCAACTAGTCTCAGATAGTGCTTTGTTTGTTTGCTCTCCTTATGGGGTGTTGAAACTTGAAACCAGACTACTTGCTCTGAGGTGCAAGCCATTTCACATGGCGGAAAAAGAAAAACCTGTTCTGGTTAAGATAATGGAAGACATCTGCAATTTCCAATTTACAGGCAAAGGTTCCCTTGCCATGCAATCCGCATTTAAAACTTGTATGTCATATATCAAGCACCAATTCCTTTATGAATAAGAATTTATAATGCTACAAGTTACAACAGTACATGACTATTCCTGCCCAGAAATATCACTTTGTCCCGAGACTCTCAATAACCAATTATTGTAAGAAGCCAAAGTTTGTATTTTCTATATAAAAAAAAAGGTATGGTAAGAAAAGCAAGAACCCCTTTAACCAATCAAAGCTTCCTTGTTATGCCAATTTGGCTTTGACAATTATTTCCTGCTTTTTCTTTTTCTATAAGAATTAAAAGCCCACGTATTGTGTGTAATGAGAGTAGGCATCTGACTGCATTGCAATTGGGGCCCGTGTAACATGATCTGGAATATCAAAAGCGTCAATCAGTTCCCTTGCTATATTCCTCACTCGGAAACTCAGATATTCTGAGAGTTTGTGGATTGCCTGCACAGACGGAAATCATCAGTCAAAATTGGGAACTTCAGGGCATTCCTTCTAAAGCCATGCATGATGCATTTGTGACTACGTCTATTCAGGCTTACATATGGTTTCCGTTATCCTGACTCATAGTGAAAGCATAGAATCAAAAGATTTTTAGTTTTATTTTTCATGCTTCATTGGATTATTAGTCAAGGTGTTTAAATACCTTAGCTTTGTTTGGTGCCACATAATCAACATTACGATAGGTTCCTATATCTTTCCAGATTCGTTCCAAGGCATAAAGATCACAAACGAGTTTCAAAGCAGCTCGAGAACTTGCATCCGGACAGCTGGCACATAAATAGCCCAAATTAGAAATACAAAACCATAATGGAAGGAGAGAAATGAAAGTAACAGAGAAATAAGAATTACTTCTGAACAGATTCGATAAATTTGGCAAGGATGACAGACTCAATATGGGACTCTGCAAGTGTCAAAAGGTGATTTAAGCATCTATTCCAAGCACCAAAACTTCCAAGTGTTTTAGAGTGCTTGCGTAGTCTAACGGCAACACTTTGGAGTAATCGAGAAGTTCGATACTGCAAGAGGAAAATTATGTGACTAAAATTTCAGTTTTGATTTTATACTAAAAGTATTTGAATTCACCAAAAAGAAAAGTAGGATTTTAATCAGAAAACCAAGATAAAACTCACTCTAAAAGCATCCAACTGGAACTTAGGATCTCGTAAATGTTCTTCACTTTCCCAACGAGCAGTCACTGGATTTGGCTGAGATAAATATGAGTTCATGGACTCTCTAAGGTAGTTCCATGTAACAGTGAGTGTGCCCCCTTGAAATTTCTCCTTGTATTGCTTCAACAGATCACCTGCCACCTGCATCACAAGTGAAAAATTGCATTGTAGGAATTGCTTTACGACAATTTTTTTGGCATATCTATTTCATCTCTTGTTCGAACACTTCATGCTCTACTGATTTGGAACCCATGAATGTTTTATCCTATAAAACAAACTAGAGCATACATCATAAACACTCCAAGCAAGAGTGTAGAGAAAGTGATGTGTTAGCAACCTGTTGTAGAAGCACTGTGTTGTCCCCTTCAAATGTCTGAAAAATGTCATGGTCATTCCTCAAGCTACCAAAGCGGTTGACAGCAGCATACCCATGGCCTCCACAAGCTTCCCTGCAGATACTCAATGACTTTGCTGTATATCCTGTCACATAAGCCTTGAGCCCTGCCGAAAGCGAATGGACATCACCAACCAATTGTTCATCATGAGTCTTTTTCATCTCGGCATATTTCTCCACCAAATGCAGCGTGGCAAAATGGAATGCATAAGTTGAAGCCAGCATTGGCATTAACTTGTGCTGATGGGACTGGTAATCAAGAATAGTAACTTCAGGTTGCTTAGGAGGACCAAATTGTTGACGCAGTAGAGAATATCGAATTGCAATTATGGCAGCAATCTTGAGGACACTAACTGAAGAATATGCAAGGCCGACTCTCCCACCTACAAGTTCCCCTAGTGTGGCAGCAAACCTTTTATTTATAGATGGTAAGCTGCTTGTGTATTTCCCATCCCGGGAGACATCTCCAAATCGATTAAGAAGATTATCACGAGGGATTCTCACTGAGCGGAATCTTAATGCTCCATTGTCCACCCCATTCAGACCAACCTTATGGCCACAATCATGTATCTCAATCCCTGGAAGAGTTTGGTGGGTCTCGAAATCCCTTATTGGCACAATGAAGGCATGGACACCCATATCAGAAACTCCTTTGGTATCGTGAGTTGGCAACATCAGCTTAGCAAAAACTGTAGCAAACTTGCCATGAACAGCAGCATTGCCAATCCACCATTTGATGGCACCATCATTGGGTGTGTCAATTATAAATTCATCTGTGAGTGGATCAAATGTTGCCACAGTTTGTAGACCTTGAACATTTGAGCCTTTAGGCACCAAAATAAAAAACAAATGAGGTTAGATCTGAATTCTAGATATAGTAATGCACCAGTACCTAAGAAATATAAACATAAAACAAATAATAACAAAGAAATGTGAACCAAAAGATGATCGATAACTATCATGAACCTGTCTCTTCTAAAAAAACAAAAGGGGATAATTAGCACCAACCAATCAACAGTTATTATATTAACCTGGCGAAAGGTTGATAGACTCTGGTTGTTATACGTATTTCAGCATCCAGTCCATACAACTCTGACACTCCAGAACTAAGTGACTAACAAGTCATCAAGAATCTTGGAGAACTTTCTTCATGCTATCTCACACATCATTAATCTTTTGCTCATTGGACACTTTTCTCCATGTGATTTGACTTCCTCAGAATAATATTAGTCATTAAGAATTACGATTTGTGCCCACTGAAGTAAAAACTGCAAAAAGTTGTACAAGGGGCAGACCAATTCTTTCCACATAATCAAGATGCTTGAACACACAATGAAAGCACGTCTTGAGATGTCACAGAAATTAAGTGTAATTTTAATATCAGCTTGGGCAAAAGCAACCAAACAAGTAAATAACTGGAAGTAACAGAAACAGCTCACCGTGATGCAGTTCTGTCATAGCAAAACAACCTGGATAATCCATATTGTCAATACCATCAAAATACTTGTCCTTGTGTTTTTTAGTTCCTAAATTGAGTATAGAACCTCCCCAAAGACTGCACAAGTGAGGGGAAAAAAATCAGTGTGATAAAACACAAATTGTAAAGATTAAGGCAATTAACCATCAAACTACGTTTCAGGTAAGCACATACTGGAAGAGAAAAGGCCCCATGACAAGTTTTTGTCAATCTAAGAACCATGAAATTACATCAATTGAATCCAAACACAAAAAATCAGCAATAACGA